AAATGTTATCTTTTGAAGGAGGATCTGAATCGATTAAAAGAAGTAAAACAACATTTTAATAGGTAAACTCACTTTAAAAAAATAACTTATTCATTGGAAATTGCATGAGCAATTCAACCGTATTCACGTATGTTATCGTATCATTTTTTAACTGCGCATTTCATTCTCTGTCTCAAATATATTCCATTCTTGAAATTTGTTTGATCAATTTCACGTTTCCATTAGCGATTACTGCATGTTAGTAATCGAATCAATGGGAATCAACAACTGTTAAAAAAATAACTTAATAATCAAGATGACCAATAATTCTTGATTGCGAGAAAAGGAAAACATGAAATAAAAATCGGAAAATGCGAAATTTAGTTTAGATAATGCAATTATATATTATTGTCTTATACCATTATTTTAATATCTTTTATTTATTTTCATTTTTATGTAAGACTAATATTAGCACTTTTTCGGTTCAATTTTGAATCGACTTATCACAGAACATTAAAAATAATACAGTTATTTTTAGGATGCAATGGATCAATAGAATTTTCAACATTTGGTTAATTATCATGTTAATGTGGACACTTGGAAAAATCGGAATATTTTCATACTTTTCAAATTGAATCGCTTTCTAACCAGCTTATAATGATTTGTTTACAATCTGAAATTATTATTTAATAACGTGTAATTGGTAAGAAAATACTAGTAAAAAAAAAAGAAAGAATAATGCAATAATCAATTGTGAAAAAAAGAATCTATTCATGTATTTTATTATCTTCGAAACATAATTATGTTATATTTTAATATCTTCGAAACATAATTATATTATAACATTATTATACAAATAAATTCATTATTATACAAATTAATACAAATAAAATAAATTCAGAATATTATTAATCAATTTCTTTCTCTTTTAATTTATCTATTTTTTTTCTTTTTATTTTTTTCCTCCTTAATAATGCTTTTATCAACATGTATACATATTCATATGTAAATGAAATTGAAAGACGTCATCAGTATCTGCGCATGCATATTTATTCATTGTACATTTAACAAAGGCATCATTAGTCAGCAGATCAGTTAATTAATTTAACGCGTAATAAATATTATAAAATATTATTAAATAAATATTAAATTATTGATTATAAATTATTGATTATTGCTATGATTTTATAAGAAAAAAAAAATCCTATTGAGGATCAGAAATTGGAACAATTCGGATAAAAATAGACACATAAACTGTCATGGGATTATCTTTAAATAAATGGGTAAGACTATGATTTTCTTTCTAAAATCTTTTAAATCGTGAAATGACATGACACTTTCAATAAACCAGTATTGATAATTAAAATTCATTTGATTTTCATAATATTCTCGGCTATTATAATTTAACTTTTTCTATTAAATATATTTTTCATCTAATAAACAATTTTCAAAATAACAATAAGTTTCCTCGTTATAAACAACAAACTGTTATCACTATCTGTGTCATTCTTATTTTCTCAAATAAAACATATATTCGTGACAATCAAAAATTAAAACTGATGATTAGCTATAATAGATCATCTAATCAAAATGATCCTATAAAACGATCAATCAATTAATAATACGTGTAAATAATTACACACGCGCACATACACACAATTGCATTCAATTCGTAGTTACTATTCATTAATAATAAATTTGCAAATATATAAAAAAATATTTATGAAATATTATGAAATAATCTAAGAATATTTTTCAATATTTTTATCAATTTATAATGACAAAAATTTTTATTTGCAATGATAACGCAATAAAAAAATTAATTAGTTTAATTTTTTAATTTTTATTATATAATTGATTATCGAATATTTTTTTATTATTTTTACTTTTATAGTTGTTATTTTTTAATTCTAACTAATGAACTTTCTTAAAATTTTTTTTTCATTTTTAAGTAAAATAAAAAACATACTAAAAATAGCTATCTGCATAACTATTGAATCTACTTATAGGTGCAATGCTTTTGTTATAAAAAGTTATGAATTAAAATAAATGAAATTCATTAAATATGACAAATAGTAGTGCAATATTCATATCTAAAGAACAAAATACCATGTCACATTTAATTGATTTTCACTTATTGAACGACATGAAAAATATAATCAAGAAAGTTGAAAATCTTCATTTTAATAATAGAAATAATCAATATTTCCATATAATAAATCATATTAAAATACACACATCAACTTATTCTGGTAATCAACATGGTATCAAACAAAATGTATCTCAATTTGTCAAACATTAAACAATAATGAAAGCTATGATCAAAATTATGATTAAAATTTTAATCAAAATAATTATTATGGTTATAATCACGATCATAACGATAACCATAATCAAGATCAGAAATCAAAAGATCTTATTGAACGAGGACCGATCAAATCGCAATTTTCTTATTAAATTCTTCTTTATTAAATCACAATAAACCATATTGCATAAATTTAGAACACTCACAACATTTGAAAGCAAACGAAATTTTTCTCAGCAATTATGATAAAATCAATAAAGAAGATTATAAAGACACTTGATTTAAGTTACAAGATTTTGAAACTAATAAAAATAGTAATCAAAATACATCGCAATTATATAATTTAAAAAAGGATGTATGTATGATGACTATATTTGTTTTGTGATCAAGTATGAATAAAAAACTTAATTTAAAAGTTTTTTTTAGTTTCCAAGTCCTATAGAAAATGTTTTAAGCAATGATGTGAAAATTTCATTATTGGAAATGGTGAAATATGGAGCATTTCAAGAAGGTCAACATGTAACAGAGCCGTGTTTTGTTCATTCACAGGAAATGATAATGAAAAATTACGATTTCTCATTAAAGAATGATAACATAATTATTTCCAATTCGAAAAATGAATTGAATCATACTTATTTACCGACTTTAACAGTTCATATGCATTCTTCTAAATTCTTCTAAATGGACACAACAAAATTTGAATTACAATTTAATCGATTCATCTCAGGTAAACGATAAATCTTTTTTTATATATATTATATTAGAAAACTCAGAATTTCCATATAATTTATGTTTCAAATTCACAGATGATCGACACAACATGCATATCGGTGCAAATTTCTTATTCTTTAAATTGCCCGCCATCTTCTTTAAGTCAATTTTATAATGATACATCAAATTCAAATAATTCGTATCGAATGGTATCTAATTCTCAAATTGAGGAACGATTCGAACAAAATATAACAAATGAAAATTTATTAGATAACATTGACCAATTAATTGAAAAACTAGTTGATGATTTAAATCTACCCAAAGTCGGTGAAACATATACACAAAATTTCTCAAAGAAGAAGAATACAATTATTTTTCAAAACAATAATTTTGACAAACATACATTCATTCGAATTATAATGAATGTAATAATTTTACAATTACGAAAACTTTATCTTGATCAAACATACCATATATAATACAAAATAATATTTCCGAAAAAAAAAAAACTCAAAAAATTCAAACGATTAATCCAATCGAACCTGATTATACTAAAACATACCTATATAGGTAAACATATCTATATTTTCAAATTGTTCAAAAAAATTATTAAATATTCGACGAAAACAAAAAAAGAACACAATTTTTCTCCTTCATACAATGACTCTTCATTAATCACATCTATCATTCCAAATTTGAATTTGCATGATTTTGAAAGAAAAAATTTAATAACGAATTTGAAAAACAATTTTCAAATATCAAAAACAGTTTCATTTAAAAATCAATATTTTCAACAATTATGGTAAATTTTGATTTTAATCATTGAAATTCATCGATTCTTATCCAAGATTTTATTATATGATTCTAGCCATTCCAAAGAAGATAAACAATTTCGATTATCGAGACTATTAAGATTACCATCTGTAAAGGCAAGTGAAAAATTAAAAGAAAAATTGAATCTAGACGAAATGGAGAAGGCTATGATTAATTTGCTTAAAAAATCAGCAAAAACACTCGTTAAACAAGACGAAGATAGATATACGTAAAAAATCTACAATTTGATGCACTAATTTGATTTACAATTTTATTTTACAATTTGATTAACTTTTTAATTATTTGTTTCCTTTTTAGAAAATTGATGTGTTTGGTCAGCCATCCGAACGAACTTCTTGAAAATCTAGCCTATCTAGTATCGCTTGTAGAACGTTTGAGTATAATCGCTGGAGCTTTAACAATTATAAATAATCGCGGTAAGGATGCGCTTTACTTAGCTGCATTAAATTGCCCACAATTTTCTTTTGTTGCTGGATATTTAGCTGCAACAATGTTAGAGAAAGGAAACGATATCAGTCAACAATTGTATCACACTCGAGTACGATTTTGCGTTCTCTTTTTTTTTCTTTTTTTATTTTTTTTATTTTTCTCTTCTTGTTTTTCTTTTCTATGGTTTTATATCGATTAATTTCTTAAATAAATATCGTTTCTTAAAAATTTTATTATTTTTATAGGGCAATACTCTGATATATTCAATCACGGCATGGGGGGATTTTTACAAAGAAGTATTAAGTGAATTATTGGCTTTAAAAACAATTCAAGGAAATATGCTATTTGATTTATCAAAACGTAACTATGATGGTTCGTTTAAATTCAAATGAAATAGATATATTTATAGAAATAAAAAGACAAACTAATTATAATTTTCTTATGTTTATTATTTCTTTATAGGTAAAACAGCTCTTCACATTGCGATTGAATCGCATAAGCCACTTACAAAAGGAATAACATCATTAGAAACAGTGAAATTACTTTTAAAATATGGAGCAAATCCCAAAATTAAAGAAACGAAATATGGCAATAGTGCTTTGCATATGGCGATTTTTTCAGACTGTGATCCTATTCTCATTAAGGTATTTTATTGTTTTATTTGTTGATATTAAATATTTAATTTAATTTTATAGACTTCCAACTTTCAATATTTTCTAATCTATTTTTTTTATATACATACAATAGCTATTATTGGATACTTGTGCTTCTGATTTGGTAAACGCAGTTAATTAATCATGATACAGCATTACATTTAGCTATAATTATGTCTATGTATCTAATATTTTTTCGGAAAAACAAAAAAAAGTATGTTGGTTGTTGTTTAACGCTGGAAGTGATCCTAATCCTGCTGAATCATCAAGGAAAAACACCGCTAGCATTTGCTAGCCTAGATGGAAAAGAAGCTATAAGACGAATTCTTCTTAAAAACATCATAAGGATAATTGGAAGGATAATATTATAATATTTCAATCATTTTCAATATTATTATTATATTTTTCGTTTATTATATATATACAATCTGCAACAATAAGACTTCTATTTAAGTTTAATTGTTCATGTATTTTCTTGAAATATTCGGTTAGTTGATTCCAATAGATCATTCTTTAGTCGTTTATCGATTGCGCATAAAAAATCGAAAAAAAAATAAAATATAAACACAAGTTACAATTGAGAAAATATCATAATATTATGTAAATATTGCTTTTTCTTATTAAGATTTTATTAAGATTTAAATATCAATCATATAATAAAATAAATTTATTCTAAATGATAAAATGTATGAAATATATTAAAATTTTACGAAACATCTGGCAAATTCGTTATTGCAATATATTTTTTCAATATAAAATTGAACAACTATTACAAATGGATAAATATATAAAAAATTTGATTTTTCTTATATATATTTACAATGGACTCATATCTAAAATGAACAGATTCAATTCATTTCATAGCTGAGTTAATACATGTTATCCTATTGAAAGTTTAGTATATGGACTGTGTTACTTACGAATTATGTACATGTCACTCAATATGAAAGCGGCATGAAACAACTGTCCATCTTAATCCTGATGATCAATGACTGATCAGTGTGTTTATTCGCTGTTCGACTTCGGTGCTAATATCATGTTACATTTTTTTCTTTAGTTTCTACCATTTATTATTTTTGTTATGCTGTAAAAATTGTGAAAATTAAAAGATAATTCCATTTCAGTGATTAATTTAAGTGAAACAAAAAAAAAAAAGAAAAAATCAAGAAAAAGCAAACTAATTAAAGTATTATTTGAAATTTTTCTATTTTTAAACAACAAGCGAATAATTCGATTGAATATTATAAAACACATATATAAACACTTTTTTTTTAAATATTATATAATATAATCGAAAATCAAATAAAATCTATTATAGAAACGAATTTTCAAATATTTACTTTTAATATGAAATTGAAAAGAAATAAGATAAAAATGATATTAATAATAATAAATTGTATATTATTATTATTAACAACTGCATTTAATATTAGTAAACAATGTAAAATTTATGAAATGACAACAGTAAATTGTCATTGCATCGGAAACGAGGTAAATTTTATATAATTCGTCATTACGATCGAATGGAATTTAAATAGTAAGAAATATTTCAAATTTATGAAAGAATTTACTGTAAAGATTTTCTTTTACAGGAATTTTTCTTGCCGGAAGGATACAATTATGAAAATGTAACAAGTATACGAATTACATCTTGTACTATTGTAAACCTTCATTTTTCCAGTTTAACGGAAGCGAATAAAATAACAGAAATAATTGTGCAAAATATTAGTGAACGTTTGATCTTTGAACTATTTTTAACATCGAAAAAAATAAAAAAACTAAAATTATCAAAAATTCAACGAATACCATTAATTACTCATGACACATTCGTTAGATTAAACAGCATCGAAACGCTTCGTATTGAGGACACACGAATTGATAATTTTGAAGAACAATTTACTGATATAGCAATAACCAACTTTTCTATGATCAATGTTACAATTGAACGTATTCATGAGTTAAATTTTTTAGAACGAGGTGAAAATCTATATATTAAAAATAGTGAATTTCAAAATGTTACTGGTTCATTGAATTTCGCATATTTTTCAACGGTAAATATTCTTCATTCCAAGTTTCAGTTACAAAAACCTGGTTATATATTGATCGAGGGGAATATCATTTGTATTGAAAACTGTATTTTTTCAAATTCGAGTGCAAATATAGTTGCGACAGATAGCATTAAAATAAGCAGTATTTGTGCAGATGGAAAAAGCTCTATGAGACTCTTATCAAATAATATTAAAAGCATGAATAATCGATTGCCTACTGAAATCATTTATACAAAGAATAAAGATAAATTAGAACATTTTTTTTACCGAAATAATACGGTATGTATCGCTGGAAATTGTAAATGTCCAAAAAGTAATGGTCAAACTATGCACTTGATAAATTTATTTCTCGCATTTACTTTTCAATATTTATTACCAATTATTAGTCTGGAATCAATGTTCTTTTAATTTCATATAAAACATTTTATTTTTTTTTTAAGTAAATATAAATTATTGAATTTTATAAATTAATGAATATTATATTAATTAATATTATTTCAAATATGTATTTTGTAAATAAAAAATAATTTATAATAAATAATTTTATATAGTATCTTTTTTCTCAAACTTATGTATTAATCTATTAATTACATAAAACTTACATTTATTTCATATTACCATTTATCCTTAATGCATATCTTGATTTTGATTTCAATTATTTAAAAAGATAT